CTCCTGACATCCATTGCGATGCAAAAAAAAAAAATACATACCAAGCCTCCTCCCAGTTTTTCAGTGATACTCAAACAAACAAACAAAAAAATACATATTTTTTATTGCTAGTAGGGTTAAAATACGGTAAAGTCTGTTTCCTGGCAAGAAACTGATGTGACTACTCTAAAAACATAGTATTGGTACACAAATCTAAGTGAACTGTAAAAATATGGCAACAATGCTCGTGTATACAAACTAACATTAGCCGTTAGGAGGGAATTCATTATTTTAAAAGACTTAATTATAAATATTATATATTTTTTCTCAATCATGACATTAACTTCCCTTCTTTAAATTCACACACACAAAATGACTAAAGATAGAAAAGAAAACACAGAGTCAGATAGAAAAAGAGCAAACTTACTAAGACAGGAATCATTTCAGTCACAAAGAGATTAATAAAAGACCAATCTCCCTAGTTAATGTCATTTACTGGTTTATGTGACATAACAGTACTGCAGTTCAATTTTTAGTGGAACAGATGTATACAGAAAAGATTTGAAAGCATCAATGTCTACCCTTCCTTCCTCACCAAACTATTGAATATATGTGAAAAGGATAAAAAAAAAATCCAAAAGTTTAAGAATTGACTTGCTTTACTTAATTTTAGTACTAAGACAAAATAATTGTTAACAGTACGTGAGAAAAGCAAATATATTTGTCATCCAATTCTTGAAAATAAAGTTATTGAGTTTTGACTCTACCATCACCGTTAATGGATTTCATAAATCCACAAACTCCTGTTCAGCAGTTCACAGTACCAGTTTATGAAATAAGGCCATCATTATACATCATCATTTGGGAAACTGAGGCTCAGAATAGTTATTTAAAGTCCCCTATAACCTCAAGACTTCCTGAATCCTAAATACTAACCACACTTACTAATCACAAAGGCATATTCCCCTTATTTGTCAGTCTCCATAGTGAATTTCGTAAGTTGCATTTCAACAATTTATTTCTATCTAAATATTTCTGTTTGTCCCAGTTTTTCCCATGACACTTCAGAATTGTCTATTACCCTTGCTGATTTCCCACTTTCTAAAATCATGCATGACAATGATGCTCTATCTTTAGAGCCTGTCAGCCAAACCCACAGTGATCACAGAGGGGAAAGACGACCAAAACAACAACAAAAAAGTCAGTGAAAGGCCATCATCTTAGAAGCTAAGAGCCCTACTCCCCAGATAACACAGAAAAGAGGTTTTTCTTTCCTCTCTTCAACCTGAATTATGCATTTACACTAATTTCACCAACTACGTTGTTTACTCCTCCTGCCTTCCCTCTTCCATTATTAATCCTTTCTGGTTCATATAGATTAGCACCTGAACTTCTGCACAGTCAAAAAGAGAAGATTTTAGCTCCACCTTTTCAGTGGATGCTAACAAAATGCAGTACGCGACAGCAGAGACCTATCCCTCTGGAACAGCCTCATGAAAAGACAGCTGAAGTGCTGAGGAGGGAGGGAAGGAAAGGAAGGGAAGTCACAGGCTTCCTGCTATTACGAGCCAAATTTAAACCCTTTCTACATCACAAGGGGCCCTGTTGCTGGCAGTAACGCAAAGAGTAGAAAAATTGGTTGATACGGCATCTTCATCATGCTTAAAAGGCAGCTCTTCTATGTGAAAGATTAGGCACACCAGAAGAATAATGCTTGGAAGCACGCTCCTGTCCTTTACGAAATTGCTGCAGGAATACGTCAGTCAACAGTGAGCCCAACTTCAGCTGTTCTGCGAGTGCTGCAAGTGGGCAAAGCCCTTCCAAAACTCCTTCCAGAACAACGCGTACTGTAGACCACACCTTGCTTCTCCAATATTCTGCCTTGCTCACCAGTGCCACAGTGCTCCTACCTGCCACACGCCACCCTCAGAACAGGCACAGAAGAAATATTTCTGTCTCTAACCCAATTACAGTTTATAAAAGGAACATTTTTTTAAAAAACAGCCTTTACTGTAGTTAACTTAGCTAAAACTTTAACCACCTTAAATTCACCTTAGCATTGTTAACTATTAAGCATATTAATTACCTGGAACACTCGATTCCATACATTTCCTTAAATAACTAATTAGCTAAAGTGATCAAGGACTGGAATCCCAAAGGAAATTCCTCTGGTTTTGTAGAACTACATAGATTTCACCTTGCTCAATGCTACAACTCTACACAAGGCCAATTAACATAAATGCATATGACAGCTGTCCCTTCATCTATTTACAGGCAAAATCTTAAGAAAACAAATAAGAAGTCCCCACATTCACTAAAGGAAGCTAGTGCATTTAGCACTGGATATCCTGTGCAGTCACCAGAAATTAAGAGTATTTGAAGAAATACTGAATTATTTTTATTCAGTTTATTCACTGAAGAAAAACTTTTGATTCTCTTGTTTTTAGCACATTGGACATCCTTCACAGCAGGTATCCTCTTGCTGTTTCAAAGACCAATTATCACAGGACAACCAAATCAAAGGTAAAAAAGTTTTGGATAGGACTTTAAACTAGATTTCTTTCAAGCCACGCGATGAAGCCACATCAACAGGAATAATTCAAAACTACATTTATATACATGGACACTAACATTGAAGACCATTTTCACCTCCAGCATACTGGCCTTTACAACCTCTCTGCTGTTACCATCACATCAAGTGTGGTGTTGTATGCAAGCATATTTAATGTTTCTATCAAAGGTCCTGGAATATAAAAGAAGTAATGCTTCACTTTTCTTACCCTTCCAAAAAAAATTCTACGCCCTCTCTCACATTAGCTAAATCCCACATTATTTTTCCAGTACGTAAGTAGGGAAGAAAGGGAAGGAATCAGGCAAAAAAAAAAAAAAAAAAAGATATCAGGGAAAGTCAGACAGCACAGCAACAGTTAGTTACTTTGAAGAAAAATGCCAGTTATTTAAGGACTAATGTGTCTTGCAAGAACTTCAAAACACTGAAAGACAGCCGTCTCCTTCTATGTAAAGAGTATGTTATGATCTACTGATCTACTGTTTTTGGCAACGAGAACCAAAAAGTAGACTAATTACAACTTGTGTATTTTATATTTACCGCTTCTTAATTTTGATTATAATATACCTGAATGTTCCTGAATATATACTACCCACAAAGGCCTCTGCAAGACAATACACTGCCGGGTGGACAACCTGCGGCTCCTGAGCTGCGTGCAGCTCCCCAGCAGTTCAAGTGTGGCTCCCATACTGGGGTATGCTACGTGATTGGCAGCAGGGCTGTGCTGGCATAGGGGCTGCAAGGTAATCCAAATCCCTTGCTATGAGAAGGCAGAAGCCAGCAGAGACTGCTGAGGCCAAATTTGCCATGTTGCCCTGGAATCCAGCTGCACGTTCAGCCCAGCCCAAACCTCCAACCCAGAAGCGACATACTCGAGGAATGCAATGCTGCTGCTAATCCCAGAGACTGTCCCAGTCCCTCCCCAGCTCTGCAGGCTATGTACAATGGGCCCCTGGGATCCCAGCCACACAGATTTTGGTATGCAGCTTGCAGAGTTGGGAAAGTTATCCACCGACGGAATATAACTTTCATTAAACACCAGCATCACCTCTTTAACAGCAGCTGCATACTTAGAAAACTTAGAACTGTGCTGGTTAAATTGATTGGTATTTTTAAAGGTGCCAAGGATCCCTGACGTCCACTTTTATTGATGAATGCTTTACTTAGCACCAGATTTTGAGAGATGCTATATCAAAGTCGACTCATGCAAATCTTTTAAGTCATGCAAGTCTTTTAAGAGGTCTTTATTAGTGAGAGCAGCCAAAAAATGAAGACTACTCGCAAGTACCAGGACGTCAGACCAGGCACTTATGAAAAGGAGTTGTCCTAAAAAAGAAAATATTCCCTAGAAAGAGGAGCTTAAAAACACGTAGCACACAATGTAGTTTATTATGAATCAGCCTGAAGTTTCTTCCAAACAGATTCTGTACCTTATCATGAAATAGTGTTTAGGGATTAGGAAGTATTGTTGAGGCTCCTTAGCTAAACATTTAGCTCAGAATTAACTACTGAAAGACTAGTGAAAGCTTAATCTTCCCGAAGAGACAAGAGATACAAAATAAATTACACTGACTAGAAAGTAGAAAATGCTAGTACAAAAATACTGTTTGAGGACGAGAAAGACAAAAATAGTCATACCATCTAGAAAAGTTACACAAAGAAAATAAACTCTGAAATATCAACACCTTAATTCAGTTAGAATTACTTTAGCATGTTTCGGTACACACACACATGAAGATGCTTGTAAGCAAAAGCTAACATCCAGGAAATCTCTTCCCACTCCCTAGCAAAGTTAGATGAGAAGTTAGCAAACAAATCTTTCATAGACAAAGAACAGGTTTCCATTTTTCTTATATTAATGCCAATCCCCTCCTCACAACTATCAAAAATCTAAACAGACTTTAAGCATAAAAAGAAAAAAATGTAGAAGCATGTTTTATCACAGACATCTGAACAAGCAAACAGAAAACAAGATCTGACCAGTTACCCTAGAAATTCACAGTACTGCCTCATTTTGTGAAGATACAGGAACAAAAGCCCTACTTGCTCTAAATAAAGAAAACTGCATTCATTTTGTGCACTAACGGGAGACAAGTTCACAGCAGTATGAATCAATCTACTATAGCAGAGGTAAATCAGTGTCAGCCATGTTGTGAAAGAAACTGCAGTTTAAAGAAAAAAACAATACACAAAACTTAAGCTGTAATCAAATCAGCTACACTGAACCTTGATACAAACCAGTTTATACCATTAGCTCTTACTTATTATTGGTGTTTGACTTCTTCAAGTTAATGTCTATTAATCGTATCTAAAACTACACATCCAAATTCTAGAGACCATGACATAGTAGCAAGAAGAAAATATACCAAGATATAAAGCAGAACTAACGACTATTGTGTGGTACACAGAGCTATGGTGAGGTGTAAAGTGAAAAAGAAACAAATGCACTTACTCAGCATTAAATCCATTCACATGCAAGATCCTCATCTGTTTGACTATTGTGCTTTTACCGGATTCACCAGCACCTAGAAAATGAAAGTAAATCAAATTCAGAAGGAAGCATGAGTGATGAAGGGACATCATTTTTTCTTCAGGGTAAAAATCGAGAAAGTTGGTTTTCTCGGTGCAAGAGTGAAAAGTGAAAGAAAAAGAAATAATTGCCACTGGAAACTTCAGTTGTAGCTAAAAATAAATGCCCAGCTCAAGTCATGTGTCAGATCTGAATCTTGGATCATTTCACTGTCCATTTTTCCAGTGTCAACGTTAAAAGCAGATTGCTATGTCTGGAAGGAAAAAGGAAAACTTCAACATTTTATAGGGGACAAGATAGGAAACATCAAAATCTTCTTGCCTCATCACCATTATATGATGGAGAGAAAGACTGCCTGAAGTCTATATTCAACAGAAGCATTTTTGTTAGACCCTTAAAATGTTTTGACTGCAGTCATCACCTCCCAATCATTAAGACGGTAACTTAAATCACACAGAATAAGATATATGGCTACTCACATCTGAAAAAGAAAGGCATCTTCTTTACGCCTCCACCCGCAAAGCTACAGAAGTCTCCTTCTCTAATCCATGTCTTGTACGCAACCTCCTACCCCCTCTTACATGCCCTTAATCAATCACATACCCAACGAGACGCTAAGAACACTTTGCATGGCTGCATGCTCCAAATTGCCCCCCACAGTTCTCCTCTAATTTCCTCATTACACTTGAAGTACAAAAATGAAAATTAAAAAAAAAAAAACACTCTCCTCTCTTTTCCGTAAGTAGACGTATTCTATTTCTGCCATGCTGCACGGATGCCAATGCACAGGGCAAGTAACTCATCTGCCTATAGTACCCATTTCTCCACGCACACTGAAAAGATCCGAACAGCAGCATTTCACTGAGCTGCTCCACGCTGCCAGATAGCTTTCTATATAAAGCAAACATATTTTTGTAAGAGTAGTATCAAAACCTGGTAGAATTTACAAAGATTCTTCTCTGCATCTCCTGGCTTCTCGTTTATTCTTCTCGTTACCCTGTGTCTCAACAACAGACACGTATGTCGGAGGCAGAATGGGCACAGAGGTACAGTTTGTATTTATAGGATGCCAGGCCTCTGCTAGCACACACTGACAGCACAAGCCTCCATTTTGAGCCTCGTGTTCAAAATTGTGTTTTAGCAGTTATATTTCAAAGTTCATTTTCTGACAGATGCATTCCTCTCTGCTTTCTCCGTTCTTTTCTTTCTCCCTCATGGATTCTTAGCAGTCCTGCTCTTCTCTCCATAAAACCTGTTTGCATGTTTTGCCACCGTAATACCAGAACGTTACTCCTTTTTCCTCTCCTTGCTGACTGATGTTTATAAGCACACAGAGACCAGTTTTTGTCTACAACTCTTTATGCAAGCACCATTTCCCCCTAAACTACTGTTATAATGCGCATACTCTGTCTCTTCCTCTCCCCTTCAGGCATACTGCACCATGCAATAAAGACAGGCTAAAAACTAATCAAGAATGAGTATCCCCAGTTAAATGAGAGACTGGGTCCACCCCACAACTACCAATTATTGAGGAATAGTAGTACATGCTATCTAAATATTTCTATTAATAATAACATTTCAGACGTAACTTTAAATTATGCCTTTTAACCAAAAGCATCGGAAGCCAAAATCTTTATGTTACATAGTCCAAAAGGGGGGAGATTGCTTTTGCTACAAATGCCCATAGCTTGGCATTGACATACCTGGGTTCTTTGGATCAGATGTAACATCAGTGAACCAAAATTAAGTATTACTACTAAATTTCTGAATAAATCTATTTCTATAATTGGCAGCTTATTATGGTGCTATTCTTGCAAACAACTATGCATACATTTAACTTCACCACCAAGGATAGTTCCATTAATTTCAGTTAGACTACTCACAGCAGAAGAGGCAAGCACGGATACAAGGCGTGGGGCCTGCAAAGTGTTATAAACCCGCTAGAATATTTAGCAGCTCTTCTTTCGTGTTATCTGAACACGACGTGAAAATATTAAGACTGCTTTGCACCTTCAAAGCATTTTTTTCCATTCCACGTGTCTCATAATGCCAGTAAACGCAACATAACAGGGACGTGAGCTCTTTCACTTTTTACAAGTCTGTTACAGAGTGCCCGCGATTCTTGCAGCCACTGTCAGAAACTGCAGCAGCTGAACTATCACATTAACACACACACACAGATGATCTTACAGCCAGCACTAAACATCTGCAGAATTTTATTTACAAGTATCTGAACTATTTTTTTAGTCAGCAGAACTGAAGAAAATAAAGAGCAATTTCACTTTAGCCTATCAGGTTTCTGTCTTACAGAAGTAACCAACGTGATGACGAATTGTTTCTATGCATCTAGGCAATGTTCAGCCTCAAATCCCACAGTGTGAGAGTCCCCGAGACCCGAAGCCCAAGTTATCCTGTTCAAAGACTTCTGCTGGAACACCGACGGACTTTTTAGTCTTGCAGGTGCTGCTATAGCTCTAGTTACTTCTCCATTTATGTTAAACCTCCTTCTTCCAGAGAGCAATTAAAAGATTTTACCGGTGACGGGACGTGCCTAAATTCACATCCTTCAAGAATTCTTTTTTCCTTCAGCGTTGTCTCACAGCTGAAGTGAGTCAGTTCACCGAGGCCTAGCCTCCCCTGCACACTGCAAATCCCGCACACCGCTCACCAGCAGTCCCTCCGAGCGACCGAAACAGCCAAGATCCCGTAACTGCATCTGATTTGGAAACGCTCCCCCAAAACCAGCCCGCCAGATGTTTTCCTGCTCCCTGTTTGACACCGGTTTTGAACCTTCCCCTTTCCAATTCCCAGGCTGTTTTTCCACGGGCACCCCCCCAGAGGGGCAGGAGGGCAGGTAGCCGACCTAACGCCGGGACACCCCACGAAGGCTGCGAGCACCCCGGGCGTTACCATTAATTAAGGGCTCGCCAAAACGACCCCGAGCAGCCCACCGGGGGGGGGGACGGGGGACGAGCCCGTACCCGCAGCCAGGCCGGCACAGCCGCTCTCGGCCCCGAGCCCCGCTTCCCTCCGGGACCGCCACCCTCCCTCCGTCCCCCGCAAGGATTCCCCGGCTTCCTTCCTCCCTTCCTCCTCCTCCTCTCCCCTGCCTTCCAGCGCCCTTCTCGGCACCTCGCTCCCCGCGGGCAGCCCCGGGCCTGCCGAGCGAGCGCCGCCGCGGCCGCCCCAACCTCCGCGCCCCGGGCAGGCCCCGCGGCGGGCGGGCAGGCGGGCGGCCGCCCTTCCCTTCCCTTCCCTTCCTTTTTCCCTTCCCTTTTCCCTTCCCTTCCCTGCCGCCCGGGCCCACCGCCCCTGTCAGCGCCCTGCCCTGTTTCTCTCCCAGGTTCCCCTCGGGCCCGCCGCTCCCGCTTCTCCCCGCTTTTCCCCCCCCCCCTCTTCCCCATCGCCGCCCCGGCATCCCCGCCGCCCTCCTCACGCGCGGCCCGCCCCGGCCTGCAGCCCTCAGCCCCGCAGCCTTCCCCCCGCTACCTGCCCTCCCGGCCCCGGCTGCCGCCCCACACCTTCCCCCCGAGCCCCACCACGGCCCCCAGCAAGCCGAGGAGCCCCGCGGGCTCCCCCTTCCTCAGCACCCACCCCGGTGAGGGTGAGCGCAGGGGGGCTCCCGGAGCCCCCCCCCACCCTCCTCCGCCTTGGCACGGCTGGGCCCGGCGGCCCCACGTCGCCCCCCCTCCCCGGCCTCGCCGTGGCCGGGCAGGGGGCCGGTGAGCGGCCCCGCCGCCCTCCCCCGTCCTCCCCCTCTCCGTGTCCCTCCGGCCGGGAAGGAGCCGTCCCCCCGGCCCCCTTACCCAGCAGGAGGAGCCGGTGCGTGGCCCGATAGACCTGCTTGTCCTTCTGCAGCTGCTTCTCGATTTTCTTGTTGGCCTCCCGCTGCGCCTTCTCCTCGTTGCGCTGATCCTCCGTCTTGCTGTTCCCTAAACAGCCCATCTTGGGCAGGGGGAGGCAGGGGACGCGGGGCGAGGGGACGGGAGGCGGCCGGGGCTGCCGGGGGGAGGGAGGGAGGGAGGCACTCTCCCGGGCTCCCTTCTTCTTCCTCCTCCTCCTCCTCCTCCTCCCCCCCTACTCGCTGCTGTGGCGGCCGCTGCCCAGAGCCAGAGACATGGAGAGAGCCGAGCCCGGAGCCGGCCAAGGGGGGGCCGATGGCGATGACTTTGCTGCCGCTCCGCCGGGCCTCCTCCTCCTCCTCCTCCTCGTCCTCCTCCTCCTCCTCCTCCTCCCCGGCAGCTGCAGCTGCTTCTCCTCCTCCCCGCCCCCCCGCGCCGATCCCCTCAGCGCACCTTTCCCCGGGGGGGCCCCGCTGCGGAGCGATCCGCGGGGATCTCCGCGCCCCCGGCCGGGCCGCCGGGCTCCGTCAGGCGGAACAGAAATCACCCCCCCGCGCCGCACGCACGGGGAAAAAATCCAGCTTCGGTGCCACCCCCGAAAAAAAAAATAATATTAAAAAAAACAAAATAATAATAATAATAATAATCCTCTTTAGATCCAAGGCACGGGCTCCAGGCGCGGAAAACCTCCCCGGAGCCTCGGCAGGGAGGATCGGGAATCGTCTCTTCGCCTCTCCCCCGAGCGGGTCACGCCAGCCCCGGTCCCCTTCCCTCGCCGGGCGCCGGAGCCTCCTCGCCCTGCTGCCGCCGGGGGGTTCCGATCCAAGCCCCCCCCTCTTTTTTTTTTCCTTTTTTTTTTTTTTTTTTTCCTCCTTGCTGCTGCTTATTTTTCACATGAGGTTTCCAGGCTGCTGAATCCTCTTGGCTTCCTCCAGCAAACAGCGAGGGGGGGGGGGGGGGGGAGAGAAGGGAAAAATAATAAAAAAAAAATCCCGTTTCGTCTCTCCCCCGAGCAAAAGCTGTCCCCTTCACGGGAGGAGGATTTTTTCCTGCCTTATTTTTCCTTCTCCCTCTTGCATTTCTCCTGGCTCTCTCTCTCTCTTTTTTTTTTTTTCCTTTTTTTTTTTTTTCTTCCCCCTATTGAGCCGCACGGAGCGCGGCGGGGTGGGGCGAGCAGGCCCACACTGCACCCTGGGAGCGGAGCCGCTCACATGACGGCCCGCGTCAGCCCGCGCCGCCGCCGGCGCCCTCTTCGAACCGGCCCCGGGACCCCCGGGACCCCCGGCCCCAGCCCCGGGCCCTCCCCCGGCCCCCCGCCGCCCCTCGGCCCGGTGCCTCCCGCAGGGCCGCGGCCGCAGCCCCCGGGGGCTCCGCCGCCGACTCGCGGCGCTCAGAGGCCCCGGCCCCCCTCAGGCTCCTTCGGATGTTTTTTTTTCGGGAGCAGAAGCCCGGGGAAGTTTTTTTTGGGGTTGTTTTTAATGGAGAAGTGCCCGAGGGGGGTGCTCGATGTTAGAGCAGAATGGTTCCTGCGCGGAATGCTTGTACCTGTGCGCCTTCACACGGACACGCTTGCTCTGGGGGTCAGCCTCGGAACATCTGCCCAGCTCCCTAAAGAAGGCTCCTGGGGGAGCCGAGGTGCGGGAATGGCTTTTTACCGATTTGGGCTTTTCTGAGCAAATTTCCCTCCCCCCCTAGCGCTGGGCAGCTGCCGCGTACCCAGCTCCAGCCACCGCCGCGTGGTGCCCCCTTCAGGGCCGGCCCCGGTGCGGGACAGGCACAGGAGCCCTAAATCAGGCTACGAGAACCAGCACGGCACAACTCGCGTGCAACTGCTTCTACCCCCGGTTTTACAGGCTGTTTACATCCTTACTGTTTTCTAAAATATGTTTTGAAACCTCACAAAAATTGCACGGTAGTTCTCCTGCAGAAGCTTTTCACCTATGCTTGAAAAATAAAGATTAGTGCTTTGCTCTCCCTAAAATACACAGCTATTTTTCTCCCCCCCCCCCCCCCACATTAATATCCTTTACATAAATAATTTATTCTCATTTGCAGCATTCAATTATCCACAATGCCATTCCCACGAACACACCTTCTTACGTCACCCGTTACTATATTTAGAGCCACCTACAGTAAAATAATTATGTGAATAGAGCAAACAACTAGAAGGGCACGTTTAGTGTCACCACATACATCTGTTTAGTCGCCCTTGCTGAAAGAGGAGTGGACAACAAGGGAAACAGGGAACTCCATCGCCAACCCTCAGCCTTTGAGGATTTGTTGGGGCTTTCCATGTAATTTTAAATGCCAGGACTTTGGGGCACACACAGCCTAAGAGGTCTGGAGACTTTGATCAACTTCTCCGAGTGTTGTTTTACACCAAGGTAGTTTTCAAAGGCCTTAAAGAAACTTGGCTCAGCGAAGCCCCAGCTAACCTGAAGCAAAGATTTTAATAATTCCTTGTATCTTTTATAGGTCTTTTATTTACTTGTGTTGTTTCCATGTAATATTTATTACTAAAATATATTTTAACTGCGCTGTTTACAAGGTATAAAGGAATCAATAAAGCAGAATTCAGACTGAAAGTTATAAAACCTCACCACTTTTTTATGGTAGCAGGTATGAAGAGAATGCAGAACTGCCAGTATCTGCCACCTCTCGCAGCAGGGAGAATCTGCCCCAGCCTCCAGGCTGTGCTTCCCTCCATGTCACCAGCTGTGGGGGAAGGGAGCAGATCTCAGGCTTCAAACAGTTCACAAAGGAATCCACAAACAAGATAAAATTATTGCTGGAGGTGCACAAACGGCTAAAATCTCCACGAGAGGTGAGCAGAGCTAGCTTAGGGAAGGGGGAGCAGTAAATGTGCCGAAGCATCCACCGACAACTGAGTCGCTGTAATGTTGCTGCCAGCGTCCTGCAGTGTACAGATCCCTGTCCGAGCAGAAAACGGGTCTGGGTCTGCAAGGTCGGCCTCTAACAGCCGTCAGCCACCACACAGTGTGCTGCCCTCCTGGTATATCTGTGCCCGTGTCTTTTTAGGTGAACAAAGCACGAGGTAGTTGAAAAGGAAGACACACGGCTGAGTTACAACACTCCCATTTGCTTATGATGGAATGGAGAATTAGCTCAGTGTATTTCAAGTGTTATTCAAGGGTGAAAGGGTTAAAAGCTGAAATAAACAACAAAAAAACCCTCACAAATTCTTAAACATGTCAACAGAGTTTTTTTTGGTCTTTCTGAAACATGGTAAGACACAAGACATAAGACACTTCTGAAGAAACTGAAGTCTCAGGAACGGGAAAATATAAAGAAATTAATGTCAGTATGGCAATAGCGCCTAAATGATAAAAATCCAACTGTTTGAGGGTTGACAATATTTAAGAGTGTATTAAAGAACACCTCTGCACGCTAGGCAGAAATATTTTCCAAAAATGCAAGATAACATGCACGTGGACATGGATGAAAGAAACATTGGAAGACTTAGGTCTACTGATTCAGTCTGCAATATTTAAATTCATGGGATATCAGACTTTACACCTATAAAATTGTGCACATTGCACACTTACAGATGAAATCTACATTCTCTGATAATCTTTTGGTGTCTAAATAGAACAGCAGGCAGCCTCAGCTTCTGTTGCAGATATTTTTTTTTTCCCAGTCTAAAGTAAATGCAAAGACTCCAAGACACAAACATGCATCTAGTTTATGGCTTTCACAAATCAATCAATGTAACAACCAACAACAACAACCAGGGAGTTTAGTTGTGTGAAACAATATTCTCAAAGTGAATAACATTTTATGGAATATTTATGGGGGCAAGTTTCATACATCCATAGTCCACTTTATTCTATTTGATAACTTTACTTACTGTATTTTTAGTCTGATTGGCCTTACTTCTACATTCTAATGAAAATCATCAGATCTCTTATTTTTTTTTATTTTATTTTTATTTTTAAAGGAATTTCAGTGCAATTCATTCCTGCATTCTCCCTCTACAGCTTTCACCACAAAAACTATTCTCTGGCATCTGAGACTGAGGGAAGATTTGCAACAATAGCCCGATCCTGTAAATAAAGTTATTCTGTTCAGTTGTGCAGTCCCATTGAGTGCATAATTTATGCAGACTTTGCTCTTCCAAGTGAGGACAACTATACAGCTTGATTTACAAATGGTTAGAACAATTCAGATATAAAGTAAAACTAGACTATCAATGACAGAACAAGTGAGAGAAAAGTACATGATCCATTAAGCTTCCCCCTGCCCTGCACACACAAACTTCTGTCCTTTTAAGATTTCCATACAATACACATAGGTGTAACAAAGATACTTTTTCCCCTTTTAATAATTTCCCCTTATATTTGACAGACCATTGCATATAGCCATGTTAATGCATTTTCGTTGTAGTCATCTCCCTTACAGCTCATGAGGACATTCACACGTTCAAGTAAGAGACGAGGAAATTCACAAACATTGGCTTGAAAATGTAGATGCAACAGTTGTTCTTGGAGTTATTTATTTATAATTTTCTTAACAGAGATTATGATACTGCTGAAAAAAGGCTTTTGACAAACAGGCTTCATGTCTTTCCTTTTTTTTTTTTTCCCTAACTAAATGGATAAAACTTTGAGCTTACAACCCTGATGAAGCAGCACTGTTAGCCCCAGTGGATCAGAGCTAGCTCTGAGTTCACTGGTCACCCTTTGTTTTCACAGGCGATTGTTAGCTGCAGATCAGGACGTCCATCTTACAACACAGAAGCCCCCCAAACCCTCCAGGATGACAAAACCCCTTATCTCCTATTGCAAACAATTCACATTTGTTAGGAAGTCGAAGGTACCGAGCACTTTGCATGCCCCAGCCTACAGAAGAAAGAAACAGTTAATTACTTTTCACGCAGGACAGTTGTGCGGCTCCTTACGGGATCACGCTGTCCGCAGTTAACATGACCTCATAAACTTTTGGCTGTGAACTGCGGGGGTGGAGTTGTGACCAAACCAGTGTGCTCATTTGGAAGGGAAGATAGAGACTACATCACGCTTGAGCATCCCTTAGCAACCAGAGTCAAATGGCAATGCAGCTTTTGAGGAGGCTGTCAGCCTTCGCTGCTACTGGAATAGCCTGTGTTGCAGTTCCTGCCACAGCAGAGAAGACAACATTTCTGGCTCAAAAAGTAAAAGCAGCACTGGTGATTTAACCATACAATTCCCTTTGTTTCCATTTATAGGGTATAGCTTATTTTCAGCAAGCCCTTTTTACTGGGAGGATACAGAGCTCAGTTAATCTGGGGAACACGTGAAACAAATGGCTCTCAGAGCAACACTTGATCTGCTACTTTAAACTCTTTCCACGTGAAAACCCAGACTGCAAACTTTGTGACCATAATCTGCGTGATATCAGGATTTACCTATGAAGGGCCAGGTGTGTGTGAAAAATAAATAAATAGTAATAATAATAATTAAAAAAAAAAAGAAAAAAAAAGGAAAAACACTCCAATTTAAAGCCATCAAGCAGGGGGGTCAGTGTACAGCAAACTTTGCAGCACTTCACTACTAATCTCAAAGCGCAGCTATGGCATGCATTTGAGTTACCTCCTCCACCCAGAACTCACACCCACAAGCCTGTTCCCCTCCTAAGATTTTGGGTCAGAGCTGCTAATCATGTTAAGGTGAAGTCTCAAGGGGAAGATAGTTTAATCTATTTTTCACTGAGCATTTGCAACCCTGTAGTTCAGCTGAACATACACTATTGTAGAATAATGTCTACACACTTTTTGATGTTGTTTGTTTGTTTGTTTAACGTATCTGTTCTTCCCCACTTTGTGATTTATTTGAAATTCATTATCTTTGCATATCTTTGTAAGAAATGAAGATTTTAGAGTGGTTATTTTTTTTTTGTTTGTTTGTTTGTTTTGTCCTCTTCCTAAGGTTTTCAAGGGATTTAAAGTACTGGGAAAAAATAAACAATCATTGAATTTATATTAGAAAGGTGCTGAAAAAGTTCCCCCTGTGCAAAGCACCTTTGAGGCTCACAGTCTTTTGCAGAAAGAAGAAATAGCTGTGATTTTTTTAAGCAGCCTGCACGTTTGCTGCATTTTTTTTGTGCATTTTTGCTGTCCTACATATTCACAGTGCTGTGGCTGGGCAGCTCTAGCAGGCTTCCTTCTTTTAAAAGTAGGCATTATCTCTGGGACAGATGGACTCTTTCAGTTAAAGGACATTTTTTAGTAGCACACGCTGTATATTGATACTTCTCTGCTTTGAAGTCTCTTTATATTTTTAGCTTTAGAAATGCAGAGCTGTGGGCCTTCATCGTAGGCCACAGAAGTGACTGCTACTCGAGTGTCAGATCTATCAATCTCAGTGCGTTTAATCCCCAGCAAACTTGTCTTTTAGTTAGTCTCGTATGAGGATTAATTTAGGATATGGTTTAGACTTGGATCCATTTTTTTTAAATCTGCTTTGAAGACCAGAAGTGGCCCCGTGGCCCCTTGCACCGAATCGGGCCTGCTGCTTACGCCTTCCTTAGAAGGAGGCATCCTCCACGAGCTATCGGCCTGCAAAATCCTTTGGACTCTTGGAAGAACAAAACTTGGTGATAAAAAGGGAGACAGTTTCAAAGTCTCCACATTACCCTTTGACCTGCTGAACAAGGAACCCTTGAGTAATCCCAAGCCCATTTAAAGGAGAAACAAACAAATTAAAGCCAAACAATAATCTAAAAAGGAAAATCAAAGCAAACAGATTGGAGTTGGAGCAAGAATTCAATGTGGCTTTTTTTTTTTTCATTTGTTCCTTCTGCAGTGACCAGAAAAAAAATCACTTCAAAAAGTATTAATAGGTAAACAAGATTGGAAATTAAGCCGTTATCAATCAAACCCAGGGAGGGCAAACCAGGGTCATCAAGCAGAACGACAAGTTTGTCTGTCATATGGGAAAGAGCGAGCCTATCTGAATGCAATAAAACGAGCATTGTCAGGAAGAAATTAATGCACCACTAATGTATTCAATAAAGAACAAACACAAAACATTTAAGTACAGATACTCCAAAACAAACAGAATGAAAACGAGATACTTCCCTCTCTGGCAAAGAAGAAGAATGTTTCCATACAGAAATTCTAAACTTGAGAGGGATTTTTGTTTTGTTTTTAAATAAAAACAAGCCCAGAGTCTACTAATAGAATTAACCGAGACCTTCCTTTAAACCAAAGAAAAAAAAACTTGCCTCCCTCCTCTCACTTCGAAGCTTTTTCTGAGAAATATTAAAAGGGACTTTAAGGAACTCATGGGATTATGGAAATAAAACACTGAGTAATAGCTTTTCACCTACTAGCTTTTCTTATTTTCTAACAGTTTTTTTTTTCATGATATTCCTTCTCACTACTCATGCATTCTGCACCGTACTTTGTAAAGAAAAAAAAAACAAAAAAAAAAAACACAAACAACTCTTATGTAACAAAAGTACAAGCACATCCTAGCTCTCTGCATAACACATATGGAATGCTGATTACAAAAAAAAAAAAAATTTGGAACATCTCGTTTCTGAGATTTAGTTTCAATATTTGTCAACATTCACGCCAGACCTACCCCTGACTGCAAACTTCTTTTGTAAAGAATTATTCTGTTTTAATTCTTGCCATGTTTGGGTCACAAAGCCCACAGAAGTAGCAGGGGCTGATGTTTTCTAAATACCAGGTTCCAGCTAGCTCCTGCAAGGAAGCAACAAGCTCCCGAGTCTTTCCTCTGCCGTGGAGGTTAGCAGAGAGCAGGGAGGCTCCTGGCTTCGCCTCCCCAGCACGCGCAGCAGCGTGAGCACGCTGCGCCAAGCAGTCCTGGCACCGAGCGCTTGTCCCAGCCGCACAGGGTGGGCGCGGGGGGCTGAGCACAAGCCAGGAGCAGCCGGAGCCCAGCCTGCTCCGCTCGCCCACTGCACCGGTGTTGCTGCTTACTGACACTGCTTTCTCATTTTATGGAGCATAACAGGAAGGGGAATAAGAGGATTGTTAAAATAGTTTTCGTTAAGTTGTCACACAGGTTTTAATGCACTGTAAACATTCCTCTCTTTTACTTTTTTTTTTTTTTTAATAGAACGACGCTCAGGTTTTCACACTCAAAATGATTTTATATTTTAGTGGTAGCAAACCGCAGTACTCTCAATACCAGGAGCCATTATTAGAGATGATCTGCAAGGAATAACAGAACTGTGATTTTGCTCCTCCTTCTCTGCACTGCTAAAGGCCTGAAAGTGTTCCCTTTCAAAAAGAGTATTTTCTCCCATCTTTTTTCTTTACATGGAAAACTGTTAAGCCTAGATCCTAAAATTACATACAGACAGAATTATAGAATAGGGGTCTTTTGTACCCTATTTTTCCTGGAAGAATCTGTCTGTCTGGCAAAGTAACAGCATCATTACTTCTTAAGTGCCTTGATGTTAAATTAGAGAGTGCCCCACATACCCTAGGGCAGTTGCAGAATTTAGACCCTTTCCCAATGCTCTAAGTAAGTCTTTCTGGTGTGTTTTTTTTCTTTTTTTTTTTTTTCCCCCCCCTTCAATATCAGCAACATATATAAAACAATCGTCTCAAAGCCTTTAGGTGTGCAATGGAAGATTCCCCTTGTCATTGCATCTCAGACACCAGCCAGGAGCAAGTACGTCCCTTGCTAGGGCTGTGGGAACCAGGCAGGAGTCCAGGCTCTGGACCCTGCTCCAGCCCCAGGCTGGCTCAGAACCTGTGGCCCAACACAGGGACTTTGCCTCTGCCACGTTAAAACCAGCAGAGGTGCAGGATTGTGCCCTCTGATGGACCCAGCACAGGGTATGTCTTCAGCATTCCTTCCCTTCTGTTTGAACACAGTGTCTGAATTAACTCTGCTCACAGGCCTGCTCGAGAGCTCGCAGAAGCCAACAAAACTGTCCATGGGAAAGAGGTGAGCTCTGGGATTAAGCAGTGGAAGAGGATCCAGGAGACCTGATCTAACATGGGACACTCGATCCAGCACAGCCACCAATCCATGCATGACCTCGGACAAGCCACTTCCCCCTTCTGTGCCTCTTTTTCCAACTATCTTTTATCTGCCTTTGTCACATAGGTTGTAAGTTGCTTGCTTCCAATGTGTCTGCACAGAACCGAGAACCAAGGGACCCTGATCTCACTTCTGGCCTTTAAGCCCTTCTGTTAAATATTTCATCATAAAATAATTATTCAGAAAGGAAGCAATTTTAATAGGCTGTCTTCTTTTTATTAACACCTATTTTAACTCAGACATCCTCAGGAATATTAAATGAAAACGTAGCCTCTCTTATAACACAGCTTTTCTGAAATGAAAATGCTACGAAAGCTGCTAGTATTCTTTTGAGTCCTTCTGCCCCAGGCCCTCCAGCGAAGTCAGGGAAAGCCAGAACCAGCATGCTTTTTACATTCAAAGAATCACACAAAGATACTTTTTATTTTGAATTTTTTTTGTTAAAATGCCTGCACAGTTTTCAGTCTTTCTTCATACCCCACAAAGTACCAAACAGGGCAGAAACCCAGTGGTGTGCTCTTTCGCAGGTCGCCTCCAGGTTTGCTTTATGCTCTTCGGTGTTACAATAACGAATTTGTTTTTCCATTGCTCCGTGCATGCTCTCTTGTCTGACTAAGAGTGACCTATTCGCTTCTGAAGCAATCGGCTTTTTTACAGCTTCGTCTCCGCTGTGTAAACAGCGAGCGCGTCGCACAGCTGAGCCCCGTTCTGACTCGAAGGGACATGCAGGGTGCCAGCCCCGAGCCATGCAGCTGCTGTGAACCTGGCCTGTGCGACCACAGAGCTGCACGTGGACACCCCCAGCTTCATTCAGTGGGATCACTGTGACATTTTGTAGCACTTAGAGGGAACTTCACCCTGCCCTCAAAGCAGCCAAGGAGATGGGATTTGCGCTAGGGACGCTGCATGGGGCAGGGAACCTGATGGCTTTACACCACTGGTGGCCCCCACAATTTGCAGTGCTCTGGCAAAGCCCACGGCAGCTGCTGTGCCAAAACATGCCCAGGAACCCTGAGCCCTGGGATGGGCACCGGGGGTGCACCCTTAACCCCCTGCCGGCCCACCGCGGCCTGGTGTGGGGAGCAAGGCCGAGCCCTCCTGGCACCCGCGGCCCCGGCTGGAGGCAGGGCCCTCCCGCATGGCTGAATTTCACACCCTATATATAAAATACACAGCCATACATTTATCCTCAAACATTCTGTGAATCGGTGTTACTGAGGGATATACTAACTCCATACATATGAGCCTTAAGGAAGATTTGTCCAAGGAACTACTTCCAGAGGAAGTGCTGGGCAGCCACATTATTTGTTTTGTTTAAAATGATTTCAGCCTTGATAATGTCTCTTTATCAAAACTACACATGTGCTGAGCATGCACAGTGCTGAGTGTTGTGAGGCATACAGGAAGGGGTGGATTTAATTTATTTCTTTATTATGAATATGGTGGTGCTGTAAGGAGAATCCAGGCTGACAGCGTGAAATAAAGCCAAACTTTCCGATGATAGTTTGAGGCCTGAAGTTCCTGTGCTGCCTTTTCAAATTCACTCTTAAATTCTGTATTCCTAATCCTCTGCTCTGGACCATCTCATGAATGGACATGTGTATTACTATAGAGCTGAGCAAGTACCTCATAATGTTTTCCATTAATATTCATTTGAAAGAAAAATGGAGTTTAAGCTTCCTGCTTTTGCTTTCCTTGAGTGAAGAACCAAGTGAGGGAGTGCATAAATTCACAATTCACAGGCAAAGGTGACAAAGGCACACTGAAACACTGACACACTGCAAATATATCCCCGTCAAAACACTAACTCTGTTTTATGTTGTGAACATCATCCTGGCTATAAGGTTTGTTTAAATTTATTTTATGTCATGCCCTCCATGGTGGATTAAAGCATTAGTTTTGCTGGAGAGACTCAGTATTCAGTTGAATGATTACGGCCACAAAGCAGAAACAGAACCACCATGTTCTACCTGCACAGATCAACTCCCAGCTCTTAGCCTAGCAATATTTTTTAATTCTCCACCCTAAAAGCTGGCTTGGAGGAAAAAAAAAATGGTTAGAAAGAATGGGCTTCAGTCTCTATGAAAGAGACTGCAGCGGACAAGCCAAGTGGAGGGAAAGCATAGGGATGCTGTCTGCATCTAACAAAAACAAGCTACAAGATCAAACTGTGCAGTAAAGACATGCAATAATGCTATTTTTTCAGAAATCTGTATATGCTAAGTACTGTTTAAGAGTAAAGTGACAAAGACTAGGAAATTCCTTGTCTCAGCCTGGCTTGCCTGGGATGAACAAAGGAATTCTCATTACCAGAAAGTTGAAACTAAGGAATAAATATATTGTGAAATGAAGACTGTGAAATGCTGAAGTGGTGCTTTCACTATCTAAGTAAATGGACTGCAGGATCTCACTGCCCAAGAGTGTCCTACCCAAGGTCTGTTTATATAAGCACCAGTGAGAAACCTGCAGGTATGAGCAGATGACTCAGGTGAGAGGTGGTAGAAGTACACAGATTCACTGGCTGGATCCCAGCATACCAAACTGGTCTGTATGCAGACAGGAAGATGGGGCAAGACATGACAATAATAATCTACCATGACTTGAGACCTCCTGCCCTAGTAACAATTATGTAATTGTTACGGTCTCTGAATACTTGAGTAAGAAATCTTTTTATTGCATCAAGTTCTCGTGTCTGGACAGATATGCGCTGTGAATGAATCATTACTGACTAGCTTTGAAGACCCGAGCTGAAGAGCACTTCATCGTGTAAGCCACATATCTGGACACATCAACACTTATGGTCCAATTTTCTGGAGCCAGTTCTTTAGGTACATTACCCTAGGGTATGCTGCCTGTGAGAAACTCCAGTTTTCCAGTGGCATCCTTAAAGGTTTATGAAAGAAAGCAATATAGTCTTAGCAAAGGAACCTCTTAATCATAAACACCTAAGTCTTAGAATAACAAAAACAACAAACAAACTACTCCCCCCTCCAAAAAAAACACCACCAACAAAAAGCAAACAAAAACATATAAGCAAGGAAAGAATACAATTTAATAAACCAAACAGGCTTGAATTCACCTCTTGGCCTGACGTTACCTTTCCTTGGAGCCATGAGTCTGCCTCTGCTCTCTCTAGAACGTTTTGCTTCTTTGGGAGAGAGCACTGCTTCCCTAAATAATTTGAACTCCTTTTCTGCCCTTTTGCTTTTTTTTTTTTTTTTTCCCCAAACTGCTTATCAACTTCTCTGCAAAATGGTCACCATCATACGAAATTCAGCTGCTCATTTATTTTCAATGATTCCCAGCTTTCTCAATTATCCTCTTGGAGGTGCTCCTCTCCTTGGCAAGGACGTAGTGCATCTTAAACATAGGCCTATATTTTAATTCAGCACAGAGGTTACAGCACAGGACGAAGGATTCAGTGAAGGTTAAGGTGTTCTTAAAGTGTGTGTTCTCTAAACCACAGTTTGACTCACATATGCCCCCAAACAATCATACATTAGCAATTATAATGATCTTTAATTAAAAAAAAAGAAATATGTTGCTGTTCTTACAGATAAGGATCTATAGAAATACTTGTATAGGTGCCATGAAAGTCTATTTTTCAAACTACATTTTGGTGGGGGAATATTTAACTACCTTACCTACATTGCTTGAATGCTACTCTAAAATGAACCTCTTTGAAGTTTTCTTATTAAAAAAGCTTTAAAAATTAAGCAGTTTGAATTATTTTTCTATGAACCATATAATCTTCTTAAGTAGTAAAAAGTTAACTTTAGCTCAAGTCATTCTACTTGGAAAAAGATGATAAAAAAGCAGTAGATTCATGTGTCTTGCCCTACATTTTCTCTAAATGTAACATCTAACCCCTGATTGTTACAATTTTTCATGGTAAAGCCTTCTGAGTGTTTATAGCCAGCAGACTCTGGCTTTTATACTGGAAAGTCTGTTATATAAATGTCATTTTCATTTATATCCTCAGTTATAACAAAGTCATTAATGCAGCTGATTCCTAAGAAACCTTATATTTTAGCAACTAGTCCTAGCTCTGGTACTTGATAATGTAAACACGTCTAACACACAGCACAAGAAACTTGTACCTCGGAGATGCTATGTTTTTTAAACCAGAGTTAGAGGCTAAAGTCACACACCATTCCTGATGGAAGTATCAATTGTCAAAGAGCTAGGTTTTGTTTCCAGAGAGCCACGATCACCTAACTACATTTCGTAGTTGCACGCAAGTGATTTTGTAGAGCGTAGTTATCAAATATTTGGTACAGACAGACAGAAGAAATGACGTTGGGTTGTGGCTTGGATCCTAAGGTCATATAAGACTGGAATTTGGGTTTGGATTCCACAGCACTGAAATTGCTCTTCAGAGATTCCATCTCTGTCGATACCAGAACCAGAAAAAAACTCCTTTCTGTTTTTTAATCCTACTCAAACCCAAATATTAGAAGCACGTTAAGATCTATGAACCAACATATCTGGCTCCTTGCCATGTGCTGTATTAATATGCCATATTTAGCCTCATTCTCTAGTACTCAGGCATTTAACCTGTTACCTCCAGCCCTTTCATCCACATCCAGTATGCCACTAACCAACATGGTTTGCCCCTTTTCTTTCTTTCTTCCATTCTGTTAGCTGTTTGACACACATTTAACGCGGCTATCCCATGGCACTGGGAAAAGTGACTGTTAACTTGTGCTCCCTCTACTGTCTGATTTGCTTCCAGCATTTGCTTTGCATGAACATAGCAATATCGTAGAAAAAAAAATTCAATTTCTTCTAACAGAAAGGTCTATTATTTACCACAGCTTTAGAAGTTACTATGTTAACTTGCTGAAACACATGCATAGCAAATTAAGTGCCTAAATGTATAGACTAGACCTTCAACTAGCATATCAGCTATCCAGAATTCCATATATTATAGACATTTTGTCTTGATCTCCTGTGAACCTCCAGGCTGAAATGAAGGAGTCACATGAAGCAAACATAGTAGCTAATATAAAGTACTTCAGAACTGTCAGGTAGCCCTAACTTCCATCAAAATCAATGCAAATTGCAATTATATCCCCCCTTTAAAAGGTCAGGCCACTTAAAAACGTGATTATTAGACTAGAAAGTCCTCAATAAGAGATCAGGAGGCTGAGTTCCAAGTCCTGATCTAGGGATTTGTGCTATGCTTAGCCAGACCCGCGGCTTTTCCTTGACACGGTTCTCACTCCTCATCTGTCACGGAAAAAGCATCTTCATGTTTTACATTGGCAGTAAGCAGCTGTAAAGTGGGGAGGGGAAGAGGAACAGCAAGACTTGGTGCCCCTTCTGTGGCGATTCCTTTCCATGAACAACATGGGCGTTTCCCACGGCTTCTTGCAAAGCAGATCAAAGCAATGAAGACAGCTTTAAATTGCAATTAGAAGCTCCTATCACGCACTCTGAAGCTCGGAACAAAGAATAAACCATGGAGTTAGCACTGTCTACAGATCAAACAGTGAAGCACTGCAGCTGCTCGCTGCTGGAGTACTGCTTGGGGCTCTCAGGGGGCTCTTGGTGATGATGACAAGCAAGTCGTATCCTCTCAGTACAGTGAGGAACATCAACTGGACGAGCTACCATACATTTGTGGGTTTTTCACCTGCGATATGACCACAGGGCCACTGTGGATGTGGACAGCTAAGTACAAATACCAATGGTGAGGTGGAAGGCTATCTATGCAAAATGTGTGCATTATATGCGAGATATCCTGAAGGTATCTGATCCATTGTGCACACACTACATCAAGACTGGCTTTGTATTTCCATGTGATGCCACAACAAGATAACATTTGTTTAGAAGTAACAGTTTTGCTTGATTACTTTCAGAAAAAATTAATATTTAGCATACTGTAGATGAACTAAGAGGTTCACATTGTTTTTTGTCTGAAACACACATTAAAATAAATTCTAATAAAAAATAAGTCTTTAAGTCTTCGTTCATACTGGCAAGTAAACTGGCTGAGTATAAAAGCCAACGGTATGATTGACCACCTTACCAATGTTACAACTGTTCCACTAAATAGGTATTTCAGAATTTGCTTCCTTGCAGAAGAATCCTTAAATAAGCTTTCTTACAAGGCTTAAAAAATCCCATACTTTAGGACATATTTCCTGTTTTCTTGCTGTATTTAACTATACTTTCAGAACGAAATTTATTTTTCTTTAAATAAAGATCCAAAAATCAAACTTTAAGAGTACAGAGAAGATCACAGAAATCTATCTTGCCGATTTCAATGCAATGAAATTGTTTAATGAATGCCCACAAATCTTTATAAAAATCAAAACAATGAACACATTAACAAATTAGCATTATGAGTATATTTAGCCCTCAGACATAAAAGGCACGTCTGCATATTCCCCAGAATGGAAAACTTCTGTAAGTAAAACTCAAATAATAATTAAATCCCATTTCATTGATTAGTTGTGTCTGTTACTTTCTTCTGCCTGCTTTTAGATTCTGAAAAGGATCTCACTAACACTCATTTTCTTCTACTTCCTTTAGCACTGTGTGTGGTGGGGCAAATTCACAATGCAAATTCATGTAAAAGTATGCAAACTGATTTTTTATAGTATATAATCACCAACTTTCTGTGTTGATCAGCAGCTTTTACACTACCTCTAGTTAGACTCAGAGGTGCATATCAAATCTGGCATTGTGAAGACTTTGAATCTGAAATGAGTGTTTTTAAGGAAACTTATGTGCTACCTTACTCAGGTCTCCAGAGTTTCTAGATGAGCAAACTAACCTTCCCACCACAGCTCAGAACTCCTTCTACTATCAGCATCACTTGTCTGTTGACTCCACATACCAGTTACACACCTTCTTAATCCTTCATGTAAGCTTTGCAACAGCTTTATAAATTCCTTATTGTTTCTTACTAAGAACAGCGATGTTCCCCTTCCCCCCAGCTGCTCAGCTGCAGTTTTCATTTACAGATAGAAAACAGAGCCTGTTTCTACAGTGAGGAAAAAAAGAGTACACACCCTTGCAAGCCCTCCTCGGTGAAAGTCCCCCAGTACTTATTTTAAGAGGTGAGGCTCTTGTATTACAAAACTGGTTAGAGCTGGACAAGTCAATGGCACTCTGCAGGAGAACATTTATGAAACAAACTGGAAAATCATATTTTAATCAAAAGTCAGACATCGATTCTACTTCAATTTGATATATTTGAAACAATTCTGAAAGCTAAATTCAGCTTCTTAAAGCCTTTTTTGTGCACATTTTTTCTGTAATGAGGGACAGGACTTCTTCATAAACAAATATTGGGGAGGAACCAAAATAAGTTGATACTCAGCTGCTGAAAAAAAATCAAAAGTACCTAAAGACCAGATTTCAAACGGTATCTTGGTATCTAAAGATTCAGGCAGACCTCTGAAAGGGCTTCCAGGTGGATCTGTGTGGTGGATCTATTTATTTTTCATACCTACCACAGTATCTGCAAAAGAATCCCATTAGGAACTCCTCTGTATTTTTATGCAACTAAACACCTCTAAATCTGAATTATACAACTCAGAATCTACATTTTATCTTTAAAAGATTGTTCAGGAACACAAAGCTATGGGAGCAGCAGCTGGTGCAGGAACACGTCTGTGTTCCCACGTTCTGGGCTGCAGTGGCAATCAGCTGGACGGGGCTGCCTTACTCCCTGGCATGCTTTTTGGAGTCAGACTTCAGGCTTCTGAGCTCTTTGCATAGATTCAAAGAGGGGAGGTTTATAACTGCTCCTCTTTCTGTTTGCATATTTTAAACAAGCACCCACAAACGGATACTTGGAAAGATACTTAATTGGGAAGCTTACAAGCTATACATATTAATGTACAGCAATGCTAATGCTGTATATTTAATACATCTAAACAGAAAAGCACCTGCCAGCAGGCACATTAATTTTCTTGTTATTTATATTCTTGTTATTTCAAAGTACTATTTCTTAATATTTACTGATTGCGATTGGTATTCTGTTGTTTATTCAGCTTTTTACTTCCTTTCCTTTTTTTTTTTTGTATCTAGAACTACCATGTTAACTAGAATCCCTCTGCACAATAACCTATGCCTTCCTTTCCTTAAATGATCACTACAAATCTTCTAACTAATATTGTCTGTAATACAACTCGTTATGCAAGTATATTTTTGCATTTGCCAGGGTGTGATTCTAAGAAATTTGTGTGTGTGTGTGTGTATGTATGATATTACATAAGCTTGAAATAAGGATTTACCCACAACTGCAAGCACAGAGTCAAGCTAGAGGGGATTCAGTGTTCCTTCAATCATCCTGGCACCAACATTCATACCCAGGCTAGACATCTGTACGTAATTCTACAGAAAACTGCTTTATTCACCAGTAATCTTCTGTTGTAACTATCATCTCTTTCAGAAAGCTGTGAAAACGTTCTTTCTGTGGCCCTTATCATTTTCAGATTAAAGAATTCCCCATTAGTTACAGGACCCGTGAGCACTCACTGTAAATCAACAAGCTGTATGTATAAAATTAGCCCTTACAATATCCAGCCCAAATCCCACAAACTGCTCTGAACTTTTTCTTCCTTTTTTGCCAGTTGTCTATCTTTTGCAAAGCTGCCATCATCTGCTCTCTTGCAAATTCATGGTTTTCAGGGGGTTCTTGTTTCTGCTGCCTTCTCAGATTACAATTTCTTTTGTGTTAATTAAGCTGAAAAATTGAAAGAATGTCGCTGACTCTACAAAGAACACAAAACAGGCTTGCTTGAAAAGCTAAAAATAGATTGCTCTGTTCAGAAGACAGACTACTCAGTCTTCAAACTATTTGTACAATGCGAATTAATTGCAGATGGCCAATTCATTTATTTAGACCTCTGTGACAGAAATGAAAGTGCTACTGCGACTCACTATGTGCACAGAGCTCCTTTCAGGTAGTTGGGTCTAATCAGAAAAAGAGGTGGCACGTTTTTTATTTTCTGGAAGTCAATTTGTCAAAAAGTTTTTTGATTTGATTCTCTCTCCCCAACATCCCGGTCTCTCTCCCAACGGCTAGGGTTTAAGATGTGACACTGATGTGCACTAACTAGAAGTTACGATGGCAAGTCCACATTTACTTCTAGCATTCACAGTATATGCTGTAAATCAGTTACATCCTTGTGATTAAAAAAATATTTCATAATGATGTAAATGTTGCAACAAAGAGCACCTAGACTATTTGAATTATTTGAAATCAATGCTCTTTTTTACCCTCAGTGTTTGTTTTAAAAAGCATTTTAATTTCCTTTTTCTTTTTTTTTTTTCTTTCTTCCTTAAAAGCAAAGGAAGAGATTTTTTTTTTTTTTTTTAAATGTTATTGATTTAACAGGAGATAATTCAGGAAAATCTAAATGGAAGCTGATATTCCATCCTGGCTTTTATTGTTAGATAAATGGGAGGTTTCCAAAAATACCATCTATTAACTGGGGTGTATAAACTGTAGCCGTGAAATAAAAATACCATTGAACGAGATAAATTGTTTGGGAAACAGAATGATCTGTACTAGGACTTTACAGCAGATCCTGAACAGCGTGAGGCCTCTTTTGTGCTAGAAAACTAGAAAGTTGTCATTTGGGAGTCTAAATAATGCCAAGAAAAAGAAACTAAATATCAGAGTCCCTTTCCTCCAACTCCAGTGTCTATCCTTTGCAATTTTACTACTTAGCAGTCTCTAAATCCTTGTTTGCAGACTTACTGGCTTGAAAAATGTGCAAAAGTTGATCCACACAGGGTCTGAGCTAGTAGGGTTGTAAGAAAACCTCCCAAGAAGCTTCAGGTGGTTTGATATCTAGCATGCTGATAGTATCACAGATATTACATTTTTCTGTTACTATTTTAAATAACATAATGTTGCTGTCTGCATTTCAAAGTAGTGATGTTACATCTTAGGTCTTTAAATAAAGGATGGTATATATAAAGGCATCCAGCCTTACAAGCCAAAAATACAGCTTGATGCAGAAATGAATTAAATTTTCTGCCTAGACAAGTGATAGTAATCTACTGAAACTTAAGTACCAGTCTCCTCCACTGTTTAAGCTCCTTCTGAAATACTTCTCATGAAGTTGCTCATACTTATCAGTTATCACAGACTTAAAAGGGGGGCAGACATCATCCCTACCCTATATTTTAAGCTATATTCCTTTGCTGTAACTTCACTGAAACTCTCATCGAGGTCAAGGGAAGTAACTTGTCTTCAAGCAATACAAAACCAGCTACGCAGTTAGGCTACGGTTGTAAACACATCTTCCTTCTACTTTTACAGACTACAGAAAGTAGAGAGAGAGCTACCATCTTCCTAACAAGAAACAAATCCCTTCCTAAGGAAAGAAACTTCACAGGATGCCTCTTAAAGATGAACTCTGTCCTGCACGTTTTGTGCATTTCCTGGAAATGCAGGCAATACCTGAGGTGGAGCAGAGGACAATAAAGCTGCAAGATAGCAAAGGTCAGATGCCTTCAGCTCCATCCACAAACCAGGCTGAGCCACCCGTCAGGTCAATCCAGGCACAGATTCCAGGTTTGGGGAGGGGGCACCCTTAAAATGCTGCTGTATGCTCACGCAGTGCAGTTACACGTGCCCCTAATCCTCGAAGGACTTACAGCACAGCTTGCTCACCCTGACGGGGTCCACAACACCCTCAAAACACTGTTTTTCCTTTCAGCCCCAGCTGGAAACGAAGCCGCGGCCTTCAGCGAGGCCAGGCCGCAAGGAGCATGCCCCCAGGCACAGTGGCAGCGCCCGCGGCTCACCGAGGTTTACTTCTGCAAATGAACTGACTTAGACAGAAACTAATCTTGGTTGAAAAGTGAAACGCTTGGCCACATGCGTAGAAGAGGAATTTGTTGTTGTTTTTCAAGGCATGCAGTAAGGAAAGTGGTATTGGGGAAGCACCACCAGACCGCAGCGGCATCCGCCAAGCAGCCCTCTCCTCCTGGTGACTTGGTTCCTGCTGTAAAATAAACCGGCATCACCAACATCCCATTAAAATGACCAGAAAATATTAAACTACCCATTCATAGGGACTGACCCCATTGCTTTTGCTGAGAGAAGCAAAGGGCAGCAGATTGAAAAATAAATACAAATAAACAAGTGCCTGCTGCTGGAGAACAGCACTACCCCAGCAGCGAGAGCTCAAATGAAGACAGTGCGGTTCTTGCATCCTTGAGGACAAAGTGTGTTATCAGCGCTGCCATGGGGAGCGACCAGTCTGTGCCTTTGCACTTCTCCAATTCTTTTTAATTTTCCACTCTGGATTTATTTATTTATAAACTGTGGTGGGCCAGACTCTGTAGGGATCGTGTCCTTACGCAGGCACATGCTACCTTCTCTCAAATGAGAAACATCTTTGTTTACTTAAGCTATTTTTGTTAGACCTTTTTTTTTTTTTTTTTTTTTTTTTTTTGCTGGTCCTGAAGAGTTTTGCCTTGCTTAAGTAAACATCAACATCTTTGGCAGAAGCACCACCCTGGAGTGCCCACAGAGTACCCTGGTAGACCTCATAAAGGTGACATATGTATATATATGTTTAGTGCTTGCTGAGGCAAATCATGTCAGCTGAGGTCTTTCTAGTAAATAGAAGAATAGTAAAAAGAAGGTAGGTAAACTGACAGCTCAAAAGGAGGAACATCACCTCAGGAAGTTATTTTTTTGTTGAGCCCTTAATGAAGGATGATAAAATATCAGTGTCTGTGTTGTAATTCTGATGCTTCACGAGAGGGAAGGGGGGAAAAAAACAGAGCACACAAAACAGAGATGATTTAAATAGTGTTTCAGCATTTTTATCCAAATTTTTAAGATGCTGGACTAGCAGGAATTCTAGTACTTCTCTCTAGCATGCTGACTATGTGTTCTTAAATACTTTTTAAACCCGGAGGAGTGCTGCAATTTAGCACCTCTCCAGTTGACAGCACAAAAAGGAGAAGTGTCAGAGCACTCGTTCTCTGAATGGATTTGTCCCTTCCCCAGTGCCCCACGTTGGCCTACCGTGGCATCTCTGAGACTACAGAAGGATGCTGAAGTCAGAGTTTATGCTGGTTCTTGCATATCTACAGCCCCTACCCAACAGAAAGTTGGCCCTCTGGATATAATTAGAGCTCAAGGAATAGCCTGTCTTTTAAACCGCAAGGACAGAGATCAGGTTCCACTATTATAAAAAGGAGAAAAACCTTATTTGTATAGACTGCAAGATTTCTGAAGTATAGAAAATGAAGATATGCCACGGTTACTCAAGATGACTTAGGATCTGCAGCATGTATGCTTTCATAGGTTGCTGTCTTGTTTTTATTTCCCAATCAGGTTCCATGAAAGGAATATTTTCTTCCATTTTGTTAAAAAAGAAAACAAACCATCAGATAAATATCAACATGGTTAAACTAAAATAAATCCATCATCCTGTAAATTTTTAAATAACTCAATATACTGTTATGTTTTGAAATGGTATAAGACAAATTTCTCCTCCTCTATAATTCAAAAACAGCCTTAACCAATTACTTCAAACTTTTCCCCAAACGAGACACATCTCCTTTGGCTCAACATTTCACATGAGAATTTTCAAGCCAAAAGGAGTTTCTTCCACAGATGAAATTGGAAATGAGAGATTAAAATCACCCTAATGATAGGTACTTGGTTATGCCTTTTAACTATGGACCCATGCCCGTATCTCTATAATTGTGACAATATTTTTCCAAGCAGAGTATCGTGTTGTATGTAACATTGAAACTTCCTGGTCTCTACTCCTTCTCCTCTGCTGCATGGTTACCATCTTATTTTTATAAGCATTCCATTCTGGGGCTGGCCCTTTAGCTCTGGCAGAGCCAAGCAGCTTCTGCTTTAAAGCGGCTATTTTGCAACTAGCTGCTGCTTGCTGCATCTCCCTTTTCCAGCCAGCGAGTACCTGTAATGTTTTCCTCTCCAGCTACTGAGAAACCAGCACTTTCTCACAGGTGCTGGCCCCTAAAACAGTGCACCCGGCGGGAATAACGAATGGTGACATGGACCATGCAGGGATCAGTCAGGGTGGGCTTTGGTGCTGTTTCCTTTTTGGAAGGGCTGCAAAATGGCTGGTTTTACATGAGCTCATAACAAAAATAATTCTAGATTCACATCCTGCTCACGCTGGCACTATGCTGCTGGACCAGTCAGGCTTGCATCAAAGGCAAGTTTTCATCGCCGCTCCAAATCAAAGGCTAAACATCAGGGGAGCCACCAACAGCACCACCAGGCACTCCTGGCCACTTCTGGCTCAAAAGCAGTGGTCAGCAGGGCAATGACAGCAAACTACATGGATTAAATATTTTAAGCAAAGTACCTATGGTATGATTACTTTACTTGGGCTGTTCTGTAGTGAGAATCCAACCCTTTACAAATAATAATGCTCTATTTTCCCCCCTTAAAAACAACACATAAAAAAAAAAAAAGCGACTGAATTTAGAGCAGCCAAAACTCTGTGTATTGCCTGGAGGAGAGGTCTGCCCATCCAGGCTGCCAGGGAGGGAGGCTTTTTTCTTACAATTAATTGCCTACAGGACAAAGCAACTACCTTGACCTAGAGGAAGACGTGGTTGTTTCCTTCCCATCATTTTTCTCAGTCTTTAAACTGCTGTAGACAAGTGTCACACGCTCTGAAGTGCACACAGGCGGACACTAAGAGACGAATTCAAGCATGGTCACAGCCCCAGGAGCACCTCAGCCTCCTGATGCACTGAAGAGCCCTCAGTACATTTTCAGCTGGTCTCCACTCCAGATCAGGCATCTGCATCACAGCAGTACATCATGGATTTGTAGCAGAAGCTACTCGCTGCTCTGGCAGGCAGTAATTAGATTACACGAATTACAGAAACGACGGGCTGGTTGTCTACTCACTGTATGGGCAGCCTGGAACGGCCTGGATAAGAGCAAAGCATTCAGATTAGCACAGGGATGAGCTCAGTGTAAATCCAAATAATACCAAAATAATATGTATTAATGCATGATGCCTCTGAACCAGCACGCTTGCTATTGCAATGCTTATCCTCTGCTGGCTATTTCACCAAAATGACAACATGAAATGTACCATGTACAAGGCCGTCTGCTCATTTGCTTTTCTCAGCATCACACCTTCCACATCGTTCACGCTTTTTATTAGAAAACACAACAATATGTGGGAAAACCCCATGACCATGCCTGCATGAGCACTGCAGGCGTGCTGTACAACGGCGACCACAACTACAGTGCTCCAGACACTGGCCTACGAACGAGTGCAACAAGCATTCAGCTTTGCTTATAAAACTCCCATATTTAACACAGCCACAGCATGTAGCTTTCAAAATCAGAGCTGGGTTTTCCCACTTAGAGGCAGCCGATCTGCTGCCAGGGGGCCATCAGCCACCAGCGCTGCATCACGAGGCACCTGCAGCTGTGTTGCCTCTGCATCATATCCACTTTCCAGCTTGACTGAACCCATAACGTGGCTAGCAAATCTTTCAAATCCTATTTAAAAGTTGCATTTCTCCAACACAACTGTAATGGCAAAGCAGGGCTTTGTGTATCGGGATCACGGGCGATGCACAAACCCCTGGAAGCAGTCGTGTGCAAGAGGAGCACTAACGGGCGTCTCCCTCGGGCTGCATGAAAGCGTTTGAGTAACACGAACGCAGCTCCCAGGGGCTCTGCCTCGGCCTCTGACAACAGCTGTGGGTGGAACTGGAGAATATTCCATAGTTTTCCACATATAGGAAGCTTGGAAATGCATGCCAGGGAAGGAGGGCGAGGAAGGCAGGGCTGCCAGCGGCAGCTGGAGGATTTTCACTGCCCAGGGCTGCGCATCAGGGCACGGCCTCCTCGGCACGTTTGGTGATGCACAGTGCATTTAGGGATTCTCAGTCGAGCAGCCTATCTGCTCACAGAGTCACAGCGGCACGAGCAGAAGCGCGTATTTATAAACGCCATGCAAAAAAAAGCAGGATGAGTAGGACCGGGGCTCTCCAGCTGCAGTTCTGGTTACGCCAGACAGCTGCTCTGTCAAAAATGCTGGGAGAAATGCTTCATTTCTTCACAGGGGATGCCTTCAGCAGGAGTCTGCTTTGGCAGCTAGATGCTGCCCAAGGGAGAGATCGTGGAGGTGATGTTTAAGATACGGGTGGTATGCACTAGATACCTGGCTATGTATTTCTGACTCAGAGGGATTTGCAGAGAGAAGAAAAAAAATATCCGGGTAAGCACTATTAACCGCCATATAATCATGACTGCATTTTTTTTTTTCCACAGCTGTTCAAGCAAGCATCTTGCATGACTCCTGAGCTTGCAGCCCAGCACGTGAGGCTGCAGCTGCACAAGACCCGAGCTCTGCCCCAGCTGCTGCAGCCGTCGCCCACTGACCCAGCACCAGCACCCGTCTGTCCTCATCCTCGTCCTCATCCTCGGCAGCGACAGGGGACGAGGGAGGAGCTCCACAATTAAAGTTAGCGTTTCAGCGAGGGCCATCCTCAAGCCACAACAGAACCGGCACAATCTGATGGGAGAAATCGGAATAATAGGTTGGTACTGACCCTCGGTTCGGGCAGCAGCATGGAAACAAACTCTAGGTAGCTCTTACATCTGAAAGCCTTGCGTCACTTTAGCAAATGTTAATTGCATCAGTGGTTTTACTGTAGTAAGTTTCTTTTTCCTTTCCAGTTTTCTAAAGCCTTAGGAATATTTCAGAGGGAATCCTTCCCAAATATGCAAACAGCAAGTCAATGCTCAGTTTTTTGCCAAGCTGCCCTTTCCCGACATTTCTCACACACACACACAAAAAAAAGCATGATTAAAAATAGTATTAAAAATAATAAATAAAAAACAGAAAGGGACTAGAGTTTAGCAGGTCTAGTACTGCAAACAGCTAATCAAAAATCATTGCTAACACAGCCATACGTTTCCTTGTCCAGTGTGGCCTCCTGATGATAATGTGCTCCCTTTTAATCAGAAGTAATTTAAATGCCTGCTCCTGCTGTTGCTCACGGGAAAGCAAAGTGCAGCACTGAGGCAGCAAGATCAGACCTCCAGCGAGCTTCTGAGGCAGCTCCAGCTCCTGGGAGTCTTCTGGCTTGAGACAGCACTTGGAGGTTTTTATTATTTGAATCGTGTCAAGAATATCTTGGGTTTGTGTTTTTTTCACCAAAGATCCCCAGTATTTTCCTTGTTTTAATTAATTAACTTTCCCTGGGGGGGAAAAAATACTAAGGATAAGTAACAAATGTCATAATTGGCATCTCACTAATTGCATTCCTTCTTTTATTTAGAAATACTATGCTACAGCTTCTCAGAACATGAGTTTTCCATATGTCGTTTTTTAGCACTTAGAAAAATGTTAAAAATTTATTTCCATCATGATTTAAGAAATTTAATTTTAAAGTTCAAAACCAAATGATCAGGTATCACTTTCTCCAGTCACTTAAGATTCCTAAATTTCTATTTGTGGTTGCTGCTATCAAATTCCCTACTTTTCCTTTAAATATAGATGTTGCAATTGCAATGTTTAGCACTACGGTTACAGTTCACATTCAGGACAAAGCTGACTCCTTAGCACTCAGCCAGTATAAATGTACAGAATGATCTTCAGATATATCTTAACCAGTCTCAGGCATTTCTATGCCTTTTAGCACACAGTTTACAGTAACACTGACAAAATAAAGTATACTAATCTGATAATCATGTAATATTATTTACATGAAAACTCTAAATATAAATTCATTAAGAAAATCCTACAACAAAATTATGAAAAACATTAAAAATATCCATCTTATTCTTAACATTCAAAAACTTAAATATTTAGCTTATATTAAGGCTACATATAAATTTGTTACTATAATATGAGGAAGAAGCAAATCCAATAATTTTAATTAATAAATGTTATGTATCCCATCTTGAATTTGATATATTAAATATAATTTTAAAAGAGAGAGAAAAGAGAGAGATGTTTCCAAGGAAAAATGTAAGCATCAAAAAGGTTGACTCAATTCTTCCCCCTCCCTTTTATAACATGCAATAGGAAAAGGTTACCAGGAAAAACAGTAATTATCTTAGAGATGTTTTACTTTGCAATTACTCTACTAATTTTTTCTAACAAAATATAGTTCTTCAGTTAACTTTCTAGAGAACAGTACTGGTTGGTTACCATGCATCCAAAACTTCTGTAAAAATCATCCTGAACAAAGAAAGCAAGACCACAGCTGTGACTGTCCAGATATAGAATATCTTCAGGTCATCAAAACTAATATTTCACACGTTCTCAAAACTGTCTTACCATATTATCTATATGAAACAAATATAGTTTATCTGACATTTTAATAACTTAAGTTACCCCTTTCAAATAACATGGCAAATTATCACTGTACTCTAGATTCTGATAATTAAACGTTTCTAAAAATTATTTTAGAGGGTAGCAAAAATACCCATAAATGTTTCAGTCCCTATTGCGTATGTTTGCAATGAGATCTTCACCATCACACCTTTGGCAGGAGGGGGGGGATTAATTTTATTACTTAGAGGTAACATAGTCAAAGGATTCATTTCTTTAAAGCTCAGGCAAATTAAAAAAAAAAAAAAAAAAAGAAAAAATATCATTGTGGAATTTTGTCATCTAAAAAAACCACCATAATCCTAAGAGAATCTTAATTAGCTGTTATCAATTACCAACATGAAGAAACACATCACCTGCATTCCCAAAATTGGGAAAACAACAAAATATTAAAGCAGTTATGAAGAAGAGCAGAATAACTCAGAAGATAATGCTAACAATTTAATATCTAACAAGTTAACAGACCTTTATGTGGAAATATAGGAATTTAATATGCTATAGGTATTTATAGTACTTTTTCTACACATTTGCATTTACAGTATAATCGCAAGACTTTTTTTTATTTTTTTTTTATTTAAAAAAAAAAAAAAATTCACTCTTGCACCACTAAGGCAATTTGGAATTAGACTTATATATTCAACAGTCCACTAACACCATCAAAAAAAAAACAGGTGACTAGCCAATACTTCACTATTTCTGACAAACAAAATCTTTTTACCTAGACAGTAAAATAATAGACTTTTTAAATAACTTTATCTTGTGTGTACCCATCTCAAACTCCTTCACAAGATTTATAATCTCAGTTTAATTCCTTTGCAGACTCCCAAGGGACTAATTTCAGTTACATTTGAGCTGTTTTCTCCCAGTTTGGATTTAATACATTACGGAGGGCAACAAATATTAAGTATGTAAAAAGGTAACAATTTAAAAATGACAATTCCTGGAAAAAACATTCTTTATGTGTTAAATTCCCTGAAGAATAGAAATGGCCAAGATGTGTTTCAGACATCTGACTATTAGTCAACTATTGTTAAAGTGATCCAATTATTAAATAGGCAAGAATTATTTATTTTACTTATATAAACTATCCTTCTTTGACGGGTCTGGAATAAATTAACACATCCACATGTTTCTTTGCTTACTATGCCAAGAAGAATGACTAATATTTTTCTATAATAATATTTTGATACGAAAATGAATGTTCAGTTTAGATTTGTAATACGAGTTTCTGCATAGTTTTTATGAGCTGAATCAAATATGAAATGATCAAATTAGAAGGATTTGAACAACCTAATTTAAAAACAAAACAGCTTTGCTCAAATACAAAAAGTATTTTCTTTGCTACTTTATCAAATGAAAGCATATTTGGGCTGTCAAAAATACACTGGTTAAAGGATTTAGACAGGCTTCATCTGAAGTACATTTAAACATCAAAACTAATTTAAAATGATCTAGAGAAACAAGCTGTGGAATGTCCAATCCTCAAAAAAAAAAAAAAAAGTAATTAAATGCTCAGGGCTTAGCTTACTAAATACAATTACGGACATCCACCTCCTTTCTCCCCTTGCCAGATAAAATGCCCTCACCCGGCCACCTCCAGCCATGGCAGGAGGACTCATAACAGCTTGGAGGCTGACCCCAGACCTGGAAGAGGGGGAAGGCATCCGTCCACCTACATTATAACGCCAGGATTTCCAGACACGTTGATAAGACACCAACGCAGAACCTGGAGCAGGCTCACTCCTCACGCCTACTCCTCCTGGCCACAGACACGAGCCTGGGGCGAGGGGCAGCCTGCGGACCCCACTGGACATCGGAGGAGATGTTATAGGATGCTGCCCTGCAACACCTGGTGCTCCTAACCTGCGTGACAAAGCACCAGGTGGAGAGCTTCAGATCCTCAGTTCCACAAAATAAAACTAAAAACGACAGTCTGATTGAAACTGTAGTTGCCTCTACACTACAGGAGCTTTCTATTTTTCCCTACCCAGTGGCTGGGGCAGCTTCAGGAAACAGGTCTGCCTGTCTGTCACAATAATTGTTTCTGCCTCAGTTATCTAGTCCAGTCAAAACAAGCCAAGTTCATAGCCAGAGCTGCAAGAGATTTCGAACAAGATTTCTGTGAGCCCCTCTGCGAGCCGAGCATCTCCCTGACACCCAGCACGCCTCACCCCACTGCTCCCCAGCTGGGACCACCTCAACATCACCCACCCCAATATGCAACGGGACCGCTCGGAAGAAAAAATCCACTCAAGGTCTCCCTGTCCTTTCCTATCACACAGCTGACTGCTCCCTCCCTTCACCATCGCGCGGTCCCCTGGAGACAAGCCTGCACCTTCCGGGCCGCAGGAAGCAGCGTGGCCCCACTGGGGCTGGGGCCCCGGCTGGCTGCTGCCCTTGAGCCGCTTCTCTGCGGATCCGTGTGAGATTTATAATCCAGCTGGCTGCCTGGCTGCTCTGCCAGAGCCGGGGGGCCGGAGCGGGACAGCAGTGCTCGGGTCTGCACGCCTGGAAGTGAACGGAGGGTCTTGCAAAGCAGGACCGCTGTCACAGAAAACAAGCAAAACCACCACCCCCCAAAAAAAGATCCCACACCAAAAATAGTTCAAGAGAAAGAGAAAAGTGAAAAACCAACCCTGAAGGCTTTCTAGCTGGTCTGTCCCCAGACTATGCAGGAGGCTCAGCAAAAGAGGAATTTGTCCCCCACCCCCTCTGGCACAACGTTGCAGCACGCGCAAACAAACAAAGAAAAATCCATAAAAAACGCCAAAAAAATATCCAAAGCTCATCCTCTGCAGTGTACAGGGTGCTTCTTTAATATTTTCAATCTGCAGAGGGATTTAGCTTTGGGCTTTCTTGCCGGCGAAGGCAGAGGGAGCACGGCAGGAGCGGATCAGAAGGGAGAAGTTCCCCCAGAGGGTTTCAGAAGTTACCGCACATGTATTTCACCAGAGGCTATTTTTAACCCGGTGGTTGCTATTTTTACCAATGTCAGTGTTTTCCATGTGTTGAACTCTGTCCCCATGCAGGCTGCGGGGCGCTGTGCCCCGGCCCCCCCCAGGCGGCCCCCAGGCTCCCTGCTCTCCCCCCCCCGCTCCTCCTCCCTCCAGCGCTGGCTCTGGGTTGTCTGCAGCTCTTTGGGAGCTCTTTCAAGAGTATCAGCAGAGCCTGGACTCCGCTCCCCGCTGCCCCTCCTCTGTATGGATATATCTGGGGGGGGGGGGGGGGGGGGCTGTGCGTGGTGCAAAGTCCAACCGCCAGCACCCTGCAAAGCTCCTGCTTCAACTTCATTCCTCTCCAAACACATTCCTGCCAACCGGGAGGGGAGAAGGAAAAAAAAAAAAAGAAAAAAAGAAAAAGTAAACAAACGCCACTGTTGCTAAGTTTTGCACTTTATACCCTTTTATATTTACAATCCTCTCTTGGCTAAAAATAGCAACACATGATCCATTTATAACTGGCCGGACATGCCCCGAAGCCGCTGGCGGGGCCCTGGCTGATGAAAGGAGCTCTTTGCGTTCCTTCTACCTGAGCTCATCTCGCGCTTAAAGGGCTCAGACAACCCCGCTGCCACAAAGCATGCATTGAAACCCCTGCTGCTTCCAGCAGAGATCAGGATAAGGGGTGCAAAAAAAAAAAAAAGCATAAAAAAAAAACCAAAAAACAGGCTGCCCCCTGCCCTTCTTGGCATGCTTGGAGGAACGTGGGAGCAGGGAGGTGCGGGAGGGGAAGGCGGCCCCAGCATGGGGCAGGAGCGTGCCCCAGCCCACAGGAAAAGGGCTGCAGAGGCAGCTCAGGGTTTAGCTTGGGGTTTAGCTTTGGACGTGATTGAAAAGTGAGTCTGGAACTTGCATCAGAGGTGGCCATGGGAGCAACTGGGGGCTTGGCTCTCAGGCAGTTATTCTGAAACCGACCTTCAGATGGTACCATGAGGTGGTCACTGTGGACAGACCCAGAAGTGGCTGGAAGCAGTGCCCAGTTTATCTGTAGACCACTCCAGGCCTGGTTCTTGGGCTTGGTGTGAGGAGCAATTCCAAAACCAGCACTGAAGCTGGCCTAGAAGCGGCACCTCAACTCCCTGAGGCAGAAATGCGTAGATTTATTTGCAAAAACTGTTCACACAGGAACTTTTAAAGATGGGGTATTTTCTTCTTTCACCATTACTAACATCTTCTGAATCCAACGTTAAAAATTTCCATCAGCACCTGTGAAGGATTCTTAGCTGCGTGTGTAGTGTAAACAGCTCGGGGACTGCAGGAGAAGTCACAAGGGCCAGGCCCAACGCCTGTTTCAGTGGAAGCCACACCTTCCCTCAGAGAGCCCAGGTGCCACACGAATGCCACTTCCCATCTAGTATCAACAAGCTTCAATGTTCTAAAATTTCCTCTTTGAGGCACACGTTTCCTGCTTTTAGTCTCTTGCAGAACCAGGCCCAGGTCAGAAGCAGAAGGGCAGGTCACACATCACCCCGCAGTGGTGACAAGAAATACAGCATGGGACTATGGTGGCAAACGTCACTGTTTTAGCAAAGTTTACCACAAAGGTGCAAATCCTAGATGCTTAGAAATACACAGTCAAGCCCTCCCAAAGTTATGGGACCTAAAAGCAAAATATACCTTCCAGTTATGAGTCTTTCAGGTACTTTAGATGTTTCTCAGTACCTCAGTTTCTCTTTAGAGCCAAGGAACACTGTTTGGAACAACAGCAAGAGTTCAGTGCAGCATGCCATGAATTGCAGCTCCGAGGAAAAACGTAAGAATCATGGTGGGACCCAGAGATGAATTGACTAGAACAATTGAAATTGAAATGGAATTGAGCTGGCAACATCCTTACCTACATTTATTCTTTACAGCCCTATTTCAGTTGCTTTTCTGCTGCTCTTCTTGGTTTTGGTTTCTCTATGGGAAACCACACCACCTGACATCTCGTCTGTGCTGGAGCTTTCAGGCTGCATTTCCCCTCTGTGACTACACCACGTACACGCTCACATCCACGTGTACTGCTGCCTTCGTCAGCATCGGACATCCTTCTTCCGAGTGCAACTGCAAGGGTTATTTTGCTGACAAGGTGCTGAATCCACAGGTCCCCGCCCCAGCGGCTGCAGCCCCCCGCACTCCTGCAGCTTGCAAACACCACCAGCCCTTTTCCTGCCCCTTCCCCTCCCTGGCACCTTTCCCCTCTCACGATCTTCCATTCTGAAGCTGACACCCACTCCCAGTCCTTGCAGCTTTGGCCCCCTCTTCTGTTTACAAAATCAAACTCCCTGGCCATAATCCCATTGGAGGTCTGCCACCTATTCAACAAGTAGAAATGCCCCCCCCCACCTTTTTTTTTTTCTTTGGAGGGCCACAGCAGGGTAGGTGCACAGAGAACAAAGCAGTACTGCAAGCAGTCCCTGTAACGCAGGGTGTGATGGCTGTGGTGATGTCCTCTGCAGCTATGCTGGCTCTGACACAGGTCTGATGGCCATGCTGGTGCCAGGAACACCTGGCTTGGGGTAAAGCATGTAAGAGGGTTGTTGTGTTGCTGAGATCTCCTCAGTCACCATCTCACGAATACCCAACTATGGCCTGACACAAGGAAAGGGGAGGAGAAAATGGAGTGCAGGTATCTCCTGGGAAAATACACAGTGTAACAGCTTTTATTTATCCACACTAGAGGATGTTCCTGGAGACTATTACTGCCCTGCACTTTCCTCTTTCTACTAATGCTCTCGTCCTAGGAGTGCCCCTTTGCATTTGCTATTTATTGCTCCTTGCAGATGTTACATGCCAGTGTCCCCTGCTAAGATGGGACTCGGGCCCTCACTTTCAGAAGTGACAGAAATCTGACATCTCTAGCTGTGATGGAGGATTACAGGGCAGCGTTAAGGATGCCAGGTATATGGAACCAAGACAGCCGTAACAGGGACTGAATCAAATAACTCAGCCCTTCCCAGCACTGCTCTGGGGTGGTGAAGCTTCCAGGAAGAAAAAAGCAGTCATTCCTTTGTGCAAATCAAAACCAGCCCGAGGTCACCTAACAATGGAGCGGTGTGAAATTGCACATGTGTAGCTGAGAGCAGCGCTTCGGACAAAGGCTTTAAAACTTCCTTGTTTAAATGCCCAGAAAAAAAAAAACAAAAAAACAAAGCCCTGGTGTTCCTGGGCTACTGGATCTCCCCATAAACAAATATAAAAGGTCAATAGTTATTTTTGAAATGTGTCACTATTTTTCCTCTTAAGTCAAATAATTGAATGATTTCCACATTCTCTTCCCTCTGACCTCTTATTTTCTTCCTTTTCTCTAGAAATGCTCATTCAGGACTCAAATATTAAGAGTGGATATGGCCTAAATGTTGCAATTCTTCATTCCACAGATTGCTATCACTATTGCAATCACTGTTCCCTCTGGATCTGGAGAAACCCACACAAAAGGACACCATGAAATACAGATTTGAATAGTACACACAAGGAATAAAATAGACTCTTCGAAGAATCTTTACAAAAATACTCCTTAAGAATTAGGAGGAAAGGGCATTATTTTTGCAGTGGGAGTATTATAAGCAATGTCTTCTGCTCTCAGCAAGGCCTCAAATGTTCGTTTTGTGGATCTGGGTAATTATTAGGCACTATGATTGTACTACCCCTGTGGAATCATTCTCTCAAGCTAAATTTGCTTCCTCAGACACCCTGGCATCACTCAGCAATTCTGCCTTTGCTTTTGAACAAAGATGACTTGACCTGCTTTGATCATACGTGCTGGGAGACAAGAGGCAGAGAGCTCAACAAGAAAGGGATTCTGGAGAGGGACAGAAATCACACAGCCAGCACTGTCAGCCAGCTGAAACAGATGCTGCAGTTTTGGAAACGACTGCAGCTTTACTGCCGAGAAGGTGAAGAGCGAGGTTGTTACCAGGGCTCCCCACTGCAGCCACGTCGAGGAATTCTGCCTGCAAAGAAAGCTGCAGGCCAGTAAGAAGGGCTAGGGGTCCTTGCCCAACAGTAATACAGCCTCAGTTACGTTCATACAGTTCTACACCACTGCAAATAGCACTTCTGTTGGAAGTCCACCATCTACCAGAGAAGGTTATGCCAGAACCTTAGGACAGTGAACTCCACATCTAAATCCAGACTCCTTGTGAAGGTAACGAGTCACACTGGAAAGGACTCCACTCTATTACATCTACAGCCTATGCTAATGGGCCATGGGAGTTGAAGAACAGTTTATAAAGGTATGTATGCACTTGGCTCTGCTGACATTTAGCATCCTAAACTACAAACCAGCATCCTGCAGGACATGGCCTTCGCTACACTGACTGCAGAAAGCTCCTCCACCCACTGCTTCCACCGAACTGGTCCTGACAAAACCTTCCTTACCACAGAGCAGTTTAAATAGAAGCTCCAGAACCAGCACACTTCACTCCATGCTGTTATTAAAATGATCTCACAGATTTTGGTGAGCGCTAAAAATTACACTATAACAATGCACATACTCTTACAGGGCTAAACATGCTAAAGAATCAAGCCCCAGCTAATAAACCCCCAGTGGTGTCCTGTGGGAGAGACCAGCAGACCTTTAAATTGTAGTAGCACTTGAGGGCGCTCCTGCAATAAATTTAACTCACCCTAAAATCCTACACTTGGTGATATGAGTTGAAGTCTTCTGTTAAAATATCACTCACCCATGTTGACACGTATATTTTTGCTGTTACACAGTGGCCCTGCTATTTTGGTAAACAAGGAGCAGAAGTTAGTCCTAACATTAAACATTCAAGGTTAGCACCTTGTTGTCCTTCCTAATATTCACACAAAGTGATAAAGGGGGACAGGGGAGGAAGAGGACAAGAAAACAGTTTAATTCAGATTTTTTCCTCCATATAACAAACTTGCTCTGTGTGAAGTGTTGGAAGTGTGAAAATGTCTTCTAGAAACTTAAAAAAAAAAAAAAAAAAAAAGGGATGAAGATTCAAGCATCGCCTTGTCTCAAAGGACAGACATGGGTTGCTGTAGTCCCTTATGGGCAGGGTGATTACACCACTTTTTGCTCTGGTTTCCTTGGCCTTTAGAAGCATCCTCCTTGAAGACTTCTTGGTCCTCAGAGAAACCCCCATCCCTCCCTCACCTTCCACCTGTTACCTCCTCCACTGCATCCTTCCCACCTTCCTTCTTGCAGGTCCTGCAGGCTGCTGCTGTGTAGTTTGGAATGCTCAGTGCCAGATCCGAGATCCAGCCATACAGTTCCACCCCAAGGGAGCATCACAGACACATACATGCTCCACGGTTAGTCATGTTTCAGTTCTTTCTGAACTCATAAAATTTGTTCCCCATTTTTTAACCCTGCTCCAATACAAAACAGACAAGAAACAGGAACAGTCTTTTGACTGAAGTTACACACTGTCAGCCCGAAAACGGCATTTTGTTCAGAAGTTCAGCCAGTGCAGCGCTGCATTTGATAATATCCCTGTTTTTAATCACAGCACTTCCATATTTAGCTCTTCCTCAATTTTGGCCGATATGCTCAATAGTTTTCATTGCAGGATTTTAAAGCATCACGTGCTTTTTCTCAAGTAATATATAGATATTTTGAAGGGGAAGAGAGAAACCAGACTATGCTACATTGGAGTTTCTTTTTAATACTGACTGCTTAACAGAAAAGGAGTGAAAGGAAACACTGA